GTGAAATCGTATATGGCATTATTGAACAACTGGTCGTGAGACAAACCGTAATCTCTTTTTTCCTTTCATTTTGATTCTTTGGCTGTATTTTAGGTTGATAACTTTTGTAGGATTTGATCTGCTTTGACTCTCATTCAGTATATTTTTCACCTCAAATAGTGTAATTTTAACCTAGAATTTTGTAGGTTTTAAAAAACATTCCACATTTCTACTACTGCCTTTCTTTGACATATGGAATACAATAGTCTTTATACCCTTGTCTATACCAGTTTTATTACTGCTGTTTATGGTTATTGGTTTTGTGGGGAGTTTTTTGTTGGTCATTGGGCTGGAACTCTAGGCCTGGGTTCTGTACCTCAGCTCTCAGCTCAAGTTGAGTGCTCTTGAGCCACAGGGCCACTTCCAGTTTTCTGGTGGATATTGGAGATGAGTCTCATGGATGTTCCTGCCCAGGCTGGCTTTGAATTATGATCCTCAGATCTCAGCCTCCTAAGTAGCTAGGATTACATGTGTGAGCCACCTGCACCTATGGTTGTTTTTTAATGGTGCTGAGGTTTGAACTCAGCCTTGCACTTGTTAAGCATGCTCTCTACCACTTGAGCCAAGTCTCCAGCCCCTTTTTTTGCCTTTATTTTTCAAATAGGTCTTGCACTTTTTTTTTTTTTTAACCTAAGTTACCCTGGAACAGCAGTCCTCTTGATTTCCATCTCTGAGCAGTTGGAATTACAAGAATGAGCAACTGTGTTAACCACTCTGCCTCTGGGTTGGTTCTGTGTTCTATTGTGGCTCCTATTTTGTTGATTTGCATTCCTGATAATTTCGCCTTTCGTTGTTTGTCTTGTTGAGTGTGGGATAGTTTGTATTCCTGTATGGTTCAGGTCGTTCAGTTGCCTTGTTTCAGGTTTTATATTTTAAGCTTTGTTAAGACCATAGTGATTTTTAAATTTGCTTTTTGTTTTCTATTTCCTCCAATACAGTCAAACCATTTGAATGCTGTCTAAATTACCAGTATTTCCACCCTGGTCAGGAGGAACCCTCCTCCCCCACCCCCACCCCCCATGCCTTGTGAACATGGGGTTTGCTTGCACTCAGGATCAGCTGTGCTGGGTGATCCCTTCTCGTCTGTCCTCCCTTCTTCCCCATGTGCTGGACGGGACTGGGACGAAGGGTCACAGGCCCTTGCAGGCCTCTTTCTCAGGCCACGCAGTTCTCCGCTGTAGGTTTCTCTGCCCAGGCCCTCCCTGAATGGTGGCCTGTAAAGTCTCCGGAGGGGGAAGAGCCATTCTTGAAGGTCACTTCCCCATCATCCAAGGATCAGTGGCCTTTTTTATTGCCTAACGTTCAGTGTCACAAGTACCTACCATTTGTACATGTCTCACTGTCCAGTTAGTACCTGAATTTAAGAACTGAGAATAGACTGAGCTACCACTGGGACTGGAGCTGGGCTAGAATGAAGACAGGTGGGTTTTCCTGTGCAACAATTTACACATGCAATTATAAAGTTCATTACTTGAAACCTGATAGCTTCATCCAAGCTTTTTCATTTTTGCTGGAAACACTTGTGAAATGGATCACGTGCTTCTTGACCAGCTCATTGAACCTGGTAAGACCTCTTCATTATCAGTGCTGCTTTGCTGTAATCACTTTAGAGAATAATCTGTTTTGTAAGATATTTTGGAATGCCCCTAAGCACTCTGCAGGGACCGGGCTGGGTTTGTTGTATTTTCTGTTAATGTCTGTAGCTCTCCGCATCACAGCTCTCCCTCTTCCTACAGATCGCTGTTCCCTCAGCTCCCTGTGCAGGTGAGGGGCAGGAGACAGAGCTTGTACGTAGGGGTCCTTTGTGCCTGTCTGGCCAGAGAGTAACACCTGAGAACTAGATCCTACATGCTAGCTCTGCAAGCATGGGGAGTGGCGGCTAGTGTGGGAGACTACTTCCACTTGGTTCCTGGGCCCGTGTGACTTGGGAGCACTGCATCACAGAAGCCCCTGATGGAGCACATGGTACATTCCAAACAGCCCTGCATCCTCAGGATTGCCTCTGAGCTGGTACTCTGCCTGTTCCTTGAGAGGCAGGTCCAGTGTTGGGAGGCTGGCTGCTTTCCTCATTGCAGGATGCACAAGCACCCGCGGATCCTGTCATCTCGGGTCCTCCCCTGCTGCTTTGTTGGAAAGCCAGGCTCTTGGCCTGTATCTGGAGTCCACACCTGGGTAAGATGGAAGTGCTGTGAATGGGAAAGACATGCTCATCCCTGGAATAGCTTCCCACATGAGGGCCAAAGCCCTGGCTCTTACTAGTTTCTGAGAAGTGCCAGCCCAGCAATAAAGGTGGCCTTCAGAGGCAGCAGTAGCTAGATTAAAGTCGGGAAGCTTTGTGTTGCCATTGACATGATAGCTGCAGATCCACACCCCACTTGTTCTTTGTGTGTGGGTGTGTACCAGTACTGGGTCTTTTGAACTAGGATCCAGTAGCTCACTCTTACTTCTTTAGTTGAAGGCTGGCCTACCTCTTGAGCTATAGCTCTATTCCCAGCTTTTTCAGAGTTAGAGATGAGAGTCTCAGACTTACCTGTTCTGGCTGGCTTTGAGCCATGATCCTTAGATCGCAGTCTCCTGTGCAGCTAGGATTACAGGTGTGAGCCGCCATACCTGCCTCTGTCCTCCACTTGTGCGCTCTGCCCTTTAGGCAGGCTGTCCCTGCACTGCTCATAACTGGGTCTCCCTGGGCCTTGTGGGTTGGCTCCATGGCAGGTGAGAATCCATCTTCCACATCCCTCCCTCCCTCCCCTCCTCTCCCTTGCCAAGGATCTGCACTTTACCCAGAATGAAAGCTCACAGCTCCTGGCCAGCAGAACTAGGTTCCTCAGCAGTTTTCTTCTCTATTCATTTGGCTTCCGTGGAGCTAACCCCAATTTCAGCACCCCTGCTGGCTTCCCTTCCTCCAGTCTCACAAAACGTCTGTACATTCAGGCTGGCTTCATTCACCCTTTCTCATGTGCTCTTTTTCTGGGATGACCACTGACACAACATACAGTGCTTTGCTTGCTTGCTTGCTTTTAAGATGAGTTGCAGTTGGTAGTAAACATTTTCACATCGGAACACCAACTGTGTCTCACACTGTTCTCTCCTTCAAGAAGACAGTTTGGCTCACCCAAATGAGATAAAGTTAAAAGGTAACTTCAGTCATAAATGTCCCAGCCCCTGATGAAGCCTTCTGAAGGGAACTGAAGGCAGAAACACCTAGCTAGGACAGTCTGGGCAGGAGGCCTTTGAGAGAGTGCAAGTGGAAGACTTAAGAAACCTTGACCTGAAGGATTAGGAGCTTGCTGTTCAAAGACCCCAGAGGAAGCTAATCCAGATAGTAAAGTAACAGACAAGGATCAGGAAGGGGTCAGCCAGCTTGGCTTGTTCAATACTGAGAGGCTTCTGGAACACTGAACATTACGAACAGGCGACAAGCAATTTATGTTTATGGTAGACATGAGTACTAATTTGTAACAAGCTGCTGGCCTCTTCCAAGTGGATCAAGTTTGTTTAGCAGATACTTTTCAGATGACTTATTGTGCAAGCAGGAGATTTTATACAGCTCTGGGCCAAGACTATAACCACCTAACAGCACCAGTGTAACAAAGTCCACAGCTACAAACTTGCAGAAATGAGAGGCTCCCTTCTCTTTTATTTCAATCCATCCCACCTGGATTCCAGGAGCAGGTGGAATGTATTAAGTAGAGGATCGGCTCAATAGGTTCAAGAGGTAAGTAACCTCGCCACAGAAGTGGTTCAAACCGGTTTGGAAATATACTTAGTGGTAGAGTGCTTGCTTAGCATGGCCAAGAGGCTCTGGGTTCGACTTCCTTGGTACCACATAAAGTTCATTTAAAAAGATGTACACAGTATTTTACCTAAAAGAATGGTCAGGGTGTTACCCACTTGACAGTTATCAAGCCTTGGTGGCTTGTTGTTTTCAAAAGGAGACCTGGGGTCCATTTTTTGATAGAAACGTTCCTGGTCAGAACCCTGCCTTCCAGCCTGCCTCTCTTCCCTGCATCACTCCTGGCAATGAGTTTCCTTTGATCTTTCACAACAACACATTATTTCTGACCTAGCTGTCTCCCCAAGGAGAGAATCAAGTTCGACAAAACTTAAGACTTTCTTTACCACATCGTTCTGTCTTACTGTCTAAAAGCTTTCCCCAGATCAGGGGCCGGGGAGGTGGTGGTGGTGGTGGTGGAAAACTTGTGTCTCCAGCGCTCCATGCCTGGCACCACAGAATAAAGGGCGGGAGAATTGAAATTCTCCGTGTGGCTCCCTCTCCGCCCGGACTCCAGGTGGCTGCTTGGCGGCCTTGGGCCACCGGGCGGCGCTACGCCGCCGTCTAGGGTGGAGCTCCGGGAGTTTTCCAGCCGAAGTTAAGTTTTGAACTTTTATTGAACAGTAATCCGAAAGGTTAATTCTCAAGGATCTGGGGAGGTGAGGGGGTGTCTCGAAGGCCAGAGGTGCTCTAGCCGTGGAGGGAGCAGGGGAGGGAGGGGTGGATGTGCAGAAGCCGCAGCGGGTGTCTGGGTGCGTCCTGGACCTCTGGGGAGCGCAGCGGGCCCGGGGCTGGCGGGACGGCGGGACCCGGGGAAAGGGGGTGGGGAGGGTGCTCACGCGGGGACGGCGCAGCCCACCTCGGGCGTGGTGGGGGGGGGGGTGGCGAGGCCCGAGGGTGCGTGCGTACGGAGGTGGTGGGGGGGAACCCCCGACAGCGCGCGGGCAGGCGCGGGGGAGCCGGTTCCCCGCCGGCCCCCGCCCCCTCGCGGGCCGGCCGGGCCCGCTCCTCCCCTGGGTGGGTCCCGGCTCCTTTTCGGGGCCGGGAGATTTGCATAGAGGAAACTGGCCGCGGTGGCCGCGGTGGGGGAGCGGCGGCGGCGGCGGCGAGGGGGGCGTGCGCCGGCGATCGGCTGGCTGCTCCAGAGGCCCCGCTTCCCGGCCGACCCAGAACCCACGCGGGGGGGACCATGAGCCCCGGGGAGCGCACGGGCGGCGGCGGCGGCGGCCGGGACGACGCGCGGAAGGGCGGCCCGGCGGGGGGCGGCGGGGGGCGCCCGGCCCCGGCGGCGGCGGCGGGGAGCGCGCTGTGCCTGCTGCTGTCGGTGGGCTCGGCCGCCGCCTGCCTGCTGCTGGGGGTCCAGGCGGCCGCGCTGCAGGGCCGGGTGGCGGCGCTGGAGGAGGAGCGCGAGCTGCTGCGGCGCGCGGGGCCGCCGGGCACGGCGGCCGCCTGGGCCGAGCCGCACCTGGAGCGCCTGCTGCGTGAGGTGAGGGGCGCGCGCGGGGCTCCCGCGGGTCCGTGACGGGGGGTCCGTGCACACGCGTGGCGAGGGGTCCCGCTCCACCCCCCCACACCGCACACACACACCCCGCGCGCGCGGGCTGTGCGCGCACGACGCCGCTCCACCCGGAGTGGTGGGGCTTGGGGGGGGGGTTTGGGGGTGCTGGTCCCCCACTCTCCACTTCGCGGGGTGTGTGTGTGCGGGGAGTGGGTTCTGGGACCGGGATGTGGATGTGGGGAAACCCAGCCGGGAGGGTCCGTTCGGAGTCCGGCCAGCGGCCGGGTAGATGAAGCGCCAGGACGCGGTGACAATCCTGGGAACTAGGGGCCACCGCGGCCACCGTGGAGGGACGCCGCGCACAGGCCCCAGGGCCTGGACTCGCTCAGCCCCTCGTTGGGGCTCAGGGAAGTTGGTTAGGAAGCAGCTGCAGCCCCCAGGCAGCGCACACGCAGGGCTCTCCCGGGTGGGTGAAGGGGACAAGGACGGTCAGGGCTAGACACCTGGATTCTGGTTTCCAACTGGGAGGTAGAGGTGCGCACATGGCGAGCTGTTCATTGATAGCGTGCTAGGAAGCTTTGGAGGCACTTTTAAGTCTGTCTGTCTATCTATCTATCTATCTATCTATCTATCTATCTATCTATCTATCTATCTAGTTATTATTAAGGTGTTGGGATTACCATTACATAAACCAGGTAATGAGTTGCAATGCTCTTTAGACAGTGTCACGTTTTCTTTTCCTGGCCTAGTGGCTAGTTATTCAGGAGGCTCAGATCTGAGGATCAGGGTTCCCAGCCCCGGGAAGAAAAGTCTGTGAGACTGATCTCCATCCTTTGCTTCCCCCCACCCCACCCCTTCCCAGTTTCCCCCTCTCTTCCCTGCCTACAAGTTGCATAGTCCATTTTCTGGGATACTTTTTTTTTTTTTTTGGTCAGTCCTGGGGCTTGAACTCAGGGCCTGGGCACTGTCCCTGAGCTTCTTTTGCGCAAGGCTAGCACCCTACCACCTGAGCCACTACACCACTTTACGGCTTTTTCAGGTATGTGGTGCTGAGGAATCGAACCCAGGGCTTCATGCATACTAGGCAAGCACTCTACCACTAAGCCACCTTCTCAGCTCCTTTCTGGGACACTTCTAAGGGGGTTAAAATTGCCACTGTGTCTTCAGAGCAAGGAGCTACATTTAAGACCTCAAAGCCCTCACTCATCATGTTGGACAGAATCACTATCTTTGAGGCTCCTGCCCCTAGACCTGGGATTGGCTCGGGGCACTGGCTGTCCCCCAGGCTCTGCTGCCTCTTCTGCCTAAGTAATAGCCCTCCTCCTCCTCCTCCTCCTCCTCCTCCTCCTCCTCCTCCTCCTCCCTTTCTCCCCCCCCCCCCTACTTGAACTCAGGGCCTTGTGTTCTTGTTCAGCCTTTTCCCTCACAGCGGGTGCTCTACCACTTGAACCATACCTGCAGTTCCTTCCCTCCTCCTCTTGATGAGAAAGACAAAGGGGAAAGTTGAGAATGCAGAGGTTTTCAGTTTATAATCTGCTGTGCCCTTCAACATGCCACCCCATGGCTCACCAGAGATCAGCATTGCATATAAAGCAGCCCTTTTCCCTGACTCCTGTGGGGTGTCAGAGCTAGTTTGGGGTGCGCATGCGTGCTACTTTAGGTGCCTCTGGCTAGAAGACATCTCTTTCCCAGGGCACCAGTGGTTTCCTGCTAGCTACAGCCCATTTTCTTATAAATACCACTTGATGGGAAATGTATACAACCAGTTGAGAGGAGAGGGTGAGGGAGGCGGGTAATTAGCTCTAAATGGATGTGTAGATACTTTTTCCAACTGACTAGATGGACAAATATATACTGAGCTGAATGTCTCTTAGGAAAGAGCGTGTTGCGCTTGAACACATTTTCCAGTTCCGAAATTGGAGTCAAGAAAGTTGTGGGTTAGGCGCCTGCAGTTTGTCCTCTGCCCAGCTAACCCATTTTTGGAGTATCAGAGGCAGAGACCGTGTCCAAATTAAAGAAAAGAAGTTCTTGCCAACTACATACACAACTTTCATGCAGGAGAAAGAGAAAAAAACAAAAAACGACCACATAAATGAGCCAACAAAAGCCACGGTTGATAGGGGATCCTCTCTCCCGGTTCCCTTGGGAACAGCACTGACATAAAGTTTTCTGGGACTGGCTGCAGTGTCTGATCATGTAGAAGCTACAGGAGCTACAGAAAAAAAAAAAAGGAATAATCATGCCAGCCCATGGTGGTCAAAGACCCTCCCTGTGGCACCAAAGGGAAGACATGGATTTTTCTACAATTGGTAGCACCTGACCTTTTGCTTTGAACGTACTTTAAATAGTCTGCTTCCTTCATCCACCCCTCCACAGTTATACTTTAGTTTGTGTGTTACAAAAAGCTTTGGCTTTATAGTGTGTGTAAAGCTTTCATACTACAGTAAAAAAAAAAAAAGTTTAATGCAAAGATTAATGAAATATTTAGTTGTATTCAGAGGAGACCATTGCTAGCTTACAATGGATTTATTGTTATTGCTGGCCTTCTGTTGTCCAGACCAATCAGTTTGAAACCAAGAAAGGTCCAGAGACTCAGATAAAATACAAGTGCTTTCCTTCCCTCCCGTCAACTGTGAGTATTGGTTATTGTCAAACTAGGAATCAAATGGAGCCTTTCCAGCCTCCGTGGTAATCAGTTCTTAGCCGTCTATTTTAATAATGATCCCTATTTTTAAATCCCCTGCACAACTCTACGTGGGGAGTAAATCATAGCTGAATTTGTTTCGTTGACATTTCCTGGCTCCTAAATCAACAAAAAAGTTTCCTTCCAATTACTTCCTGGCATGCTTACTTTTTTCTCTCCACTCTTTTCTTGCCTTTAAACCATTTCTTTTTTTTTTTTTTTTAATGTGGTAGTTTGGGATCGCTTTGTAATAATAGCAACGTATTTAGAACAAGCCAACTGTTGGGGTGTTCTTGTGAAAACATTTTTGGGATTGTTGAATTAGGCTTGAAGATTGGAGGCATGACTGGCTCCCGAAGTTGGGGACTGTTTGAACTGGAGGTCGAGCAGGGTAGATTCGTCCTCCACCTTCTTTTTGTTGTGCTGGTCCTGGGGCTTGAACGCAGGGACTGGGTGCTGTCTCTGAGCTTTTATCATTCAAGGCTGGTGCTCTACTACTTGAGTTACAGCTCTACTTCTGGCTTTTGGGTAGTTAAGTGGAGATAAAGAGCTTTTATGCCAGGCTGGTTTTGAACCACGATCTCAGACTCCTGAGTAGGTGTGAGCCACCAGTGCTCAGCCTCCTCCTCCTTCTTTTTAGCCGACAGAGCAAGTTTATTTGAAAGAAAAAAGGAAAGCATCAAATGGAAAACAGTGAGAGACTCTCTGGAAAGGGACCTGAAGAGTCCACTGGAGTCCCCTTGGAAGGAGGGTTTTGTACTTGGTTCCTCCCATAATCCTCTCTTGAGCTTTGGGCTCAGCATTTGAATGGGAACCCGGGACATTGTAGGAAGCATTTGAGCATGAACCTAAGACAGTATGGGAAGAAGAAGCTCCATGCTGGGCCACACATTATATGCCATGAGTTAGGTATGCCATCTTTTATTCCTATCTACCAAACAGCTCCTCTTTCTTTCTGTCTTTCATTCCCCTGTCTTACAGTGACCATTCCAGGCTGCTTTCTGCAGCCTAGGATCCTCCGTAAAGTATCTTTTAGACGGACAGGACATAGTTTGTGGGCTGTTCCAGTTGACCACAGTACAACTCTGGAGGAGAGTTTCTATGAGGCTCCTTTTTTGTGATCATTTGTAGCTTGGAGGACTCCAGTCTAGAAGAAACCAATTGAACAAGCAGATTGACAATGCAGAAGCTAAATATTCGCAGAATTAAGATTATTTGATAGGGGTGTCCCAAAAAAGTTAGCCATTAGGATCCGGTACTTCTGGTGCTTGAGTTTCTTATCCACAGAGGAGCCTTTGAGACCTGGCCTTGCTGTGTGCAAGCTATCTTCCAAGCATGTCAGCTTCCTGAAGGCAACGTCTTCCTTTCTAATACGTTCATCAAAATGACGTGTAAGATACAGCAAAGAAGATCCTGCAGAGGAGAAATCTAGGTTGGTGTTAGGCTTTGGATATGGTTTGCCCTTGTCCCTGCCAAGGGTTCATGCTTTGAAAGTTTGGTCTCCAAGATGGTAGAATTGTGAGGCATGTGGACCTTTAAGGGGTGGACCCTCATACAGGGTCCTTAGGTCCATCATGGGCATGCTCTTGGAAGGGATTATAGTAACTCCAGGCCTGCTCTGGCTTTCTGTTTTGCATTGTGATTTTTGCATTGTGGCCTTGCGCAGAAGCCAGAGCAATGGGACCTTCTGGTCTTGGATTTTTCAGCCTCCAAAACCATGAACTAAAATAAATAAAGACTCTCTTCATTGCGTGTGTGTGTGTGTGTGTGTGTGTGTGTGAGTGTGTGAGTGTATGTGTGTGTGTGTGTGTGAGACTGTGTGTGAAGCTTGCCTCTGATATTTCATTACAGTCATGGAACACAGACCAGTCCAGTCAGGTAATTGGTTTTTGGCGGAAGGTAATGGGATGAACCATCTCACAGCATAAGAGAAACACAGCCAGCAGACACTGGGTTAGTTCAGTGACTTGGCCACACTTGGGTGACAACTGATTTTTCTCTTGTCCTTTCTAAAATGAATTGTCGTAAGACGCTGCTACAGCTCCACATATTCATAATTTTTTCAGCCTAGGGGAAAAGGCAGCAAAAGGAGCTGTCTTTTTGAGAGGTATCTTCTCCTCTATGTAAACCTGGGAGAGAATTTTCTCAGCTTCGTTCAGCAGCATTCCCTGGTATCCATCTTCCAAAATGAGGTCACATGATCACCCCGACCCTTTCTCGGCTGAGGGTGATGGAGGCCAACAAGGAGGCTTTGGCCAATTTTGATTCATCCCCTGGGGCTGGGCGCATTGCCACCAGACTAGAA